CCCCCCCCCCTCGAAAGTATCCAAAACAAGAACATGGGGACCTACTACGTGTGGCGAAAATGTGGATGGCTTGATTGACGTTAACCTGACTTGAAATACTTCCCGGAGTAACGAAAACGTCACGGTGACGACACGCGAAATAGAAAACACCCTACCTGGCAAGCGCCAACGCTCACAAAGAAGGTTCACACAGCGGGACTTCTTGCGAGGGAGTAAAGGAACGACGGAGAGCATGACTACTTGTCACGAAAGTAACTACCTGTCACCGTTGGCTTTACTCTTCTTGGTGCTTGAGGAGTACGTTGATAGGTAACGTGCAGCCGCCTACGCTTGGATAGGACAAACGTCCAAGCGTGCTAAACCACACTCTGTCCCTGACCCGTAGGCGATGTGTTTGTCGGTTTGGTTTTAACTTCCGCCTGTGCCGTTTTCCGTGTTGCCCTTGCCCTTTGCCAACATGACAGCAAACGCCGGTTCTTGGGATGTACGATGCCGGATGCAAAGCGGTGGCGCACATGGAAAAACACCTCCCGGGGGTCCTTCAAAACCGCGGGAGACCCACTCGGCTTGGCGACGACGGGGTGGGGGGGGGGGGCAGCGGGTACAGCAACGCTGCCTCAAATGACACCGAGGATGGCGAGCCCGCACCCACACCACGCATCTTCTTGCAGGCGTTGGCACACCTCGGCAGCAACAGCGCAAGCACCACCGTCGAAGCACCGCAAGTTTCTCTACCTGTACCACCAAAGAGAGACAGCAAAGTCGACGTGTATGCCCTCAAGGCTGCTGCCCAGGGTGATCGTGTGCAGAACCAAGTAAACGTCTACGATCTTCTGCACGCGTCAGCCGAAACACAGGGGCCAGTACCGGAGGCCGTTAACTTGGCGGCCACGAGAGCTGTGGCAGCTCTCCGGGAGGCAGGAATTCGGGTGCTCTCCTTCTTCGAGGTCCTCGTCTTCACGTACGTCTGGCTCCGAAACATCGCCGAAGATGAACCAGGCATGCTAGAGCTAGGGGCTACGGGGTGGACCCTACGAAGGCCTTCCCACGGAGTAGTGCCTGTCGGGACCACCGCTGAGAGCGTGGACGCAGTCAGTACTGGTGACGCCGCAGAAGCACGTGCGGGAAGTGCTGGTGGTTGCGCACGGGGTCAGGAATGGAAAGGGTGCATGCTTGCCGGATCGGTTTGGTGCGGGGGATTTCGTGGACGGTGACACTTCAACTCTCTATGCTACCCAGGTGGACGGGTCGGATACGCGGCGGTGAGCGCATTAATGATCAGATGATTTAGCAGCCGGGGGTTGACTACACCAACCTCTTGCCTTCTCTTGATCATTGCATCGGTATTTACACCTCTCTGAGAGCACTTGGGGTAAGGAATTCGGCGTTCGGTTTTCGGTTTGCCCTTTGTGATGCAATCATTGGCTTTGCCGACGGGTGGACGACCACTGTTTGGCGGTTTCAAAAACGAAGGCTGTATCCATCCCTCCACACAATTCATCTCTCGGTAGCCCTCTAGAGTCTACCCTTCAGAATCGCTTGCCTGGGATTCCCTGCGCGTCTGGCCGTTGGTAAATTGTTTTCGAGCCCCCTCCTTCCTTCTAGTTCCACATGTACGCGTGGTGATATTTGAGGTGTGTTCGAACAGCCGCCCTTGCCGCTTCTGATTGTTGCTGCAGTCAACGTCAAAGGTCGTGGTCGAGAGGTGCACAAACTCTTCTTAGTGGTTCCAAATCGAAGCTCCCATTTACCCCTCCAAACAATCCACCAGTCCCGAGCCCTCTATAATAGAGTTTCGCCTGGCGACGTGCGCGCCACCCTCTTGTGCGGTGTGCTGTTGGTTTGAAACGCGTAGTCGGAATTGAGAGGTTATTCAACAGCCACTCCTTTTCCTCGCGTGCGGATTGCTGCAAGCGTAGACAAAGTTCATGGTCGACGGAGTACAGCCGATTGGCGAGAAAGAGCGCAAGATAGCAGGTGTGTCTCATGATGGTTTGCTGGAGGGCTCGAATTGCCCGTTTCGTTGAAGGGCGATCGATGTCGGGCATCCCCAGGCTTGCATGACGCTTGCATGACGTGGGTCGAGGCGTGTTGGGTTGCGTGGTTTGGTGTACAGTTGATAACCTTCACAGCATGAATCATGAGCACTTCTGTATCCATCCATTCGCTAACGCTTGACGCTCTTGCCGTGGCCGTGCAACTTCCAGAGAGTGCCGTACGCTGCGGCATCGGGTGCGGAGACGGTGTATACTCCATCATGGCCCGTCAGATTGCACTGGCGGTGAACGTCCCCCCGCATGAGAACGTGGAGAACTTCAAGGTGGCCGGGTACAATTGCGTCTGGCATGACACCACCTTCGACGACAAGTCGTTCGAGCACGCCGAATATAAGACGTGGGAGTCGGGGATATTTGTGGGCCCAGACGGACCTCACGAGAAGAACCACCGCAAGGAGTGCCAGCGGCAGCATAGTGGTTGCACGACGTGTGATGAGCTTGCCGGGATCAACCTGAACCCGCACGAACAGGACCATTCGAAGAAGGCCTTGTACCTTCTATCGCTCAATACCATGACATTTTCCAACTTCACTCTCGCGGTAAGGGTGATCAACGAGCGCCAAAACCAGGAGTTCAACAGAAAAACCCTGAGGACGCTTCAGCAAGTGTCACGGAACACCCAAAAGATAACTTTACAGGCTGTGAAGCCGCCCTGTGGAGGTGCGGCAGGTGCTTTTGCTGGAAGCACGTCATGCGCGTATTCGACTGGCTGGGGAGGGTGGACATTATCATGCTTGCGACGGTGCTGGGGTCGACCGCTTGAGTATTGCAAAATGGGGGCGAGCATGGTAGAGTGTTGTTCACGTTGGGATTGTGCCTGAAGAGTTGGAGGTGGGCAAAAGTCAGAAAGGTATCCGATTGATAGTTCGGCCGGGCAGGCGTTGTGTAATTTCTCGCGTGGGACGTAGTGTTTTGGTGGACGTGCAAGGTGCATGTGCGAGGTATTGGAATGTATCGTGTTTGTTGACGGGTTGACCACCGACCGCCAAACCCGTGCTTGTGCCACCACTTTCCGCTTAGCGTGTACTCTGCAGTCGGTTTTGTGTGTTGCGGATTTCAACCCGTGTTTAGGGTGGGTGATGCACATGGTGGTGATCCAATGACATCTTTCAGGGTATACGCCCGTTGTGTACAATTGTAGATTCAGTTTGAGTGGGTCTGGTGTTGTTTCGCCTCGTTGGGCCCGTGGTATGCATGTCGGTCCCCGATGCAGCGATGCATGGTGCAGCGAGAGTGCTTCTTTGGAGCTGAAATTATCGAGCATTCTTGTCCTCCTCTGCCTGTGGCTCCTGTTTCGCGTGCATGCTGGATTGTACTGTGGAGCGGGCCTTAACCAGGGGCTAAGCCACAACGATTCTAGTGTGCGTATGTTCACATGATATATTCTTTAGGGTTGTTTGTGAAACAGAGGGATATTTACACTCGAAAAGGTGTGAAAAAAAACGCTTGCACGCACCACGTGTAAAAATTGATGTGGTCGACTAACACGGGCGTTGTTGTGATTGCCGGAAATGCGCCGTAAGGGTACTCAACTCAGGCTGGACATCTACAATCGGCCAAGATTTCTGCTTGCCCGACTCGTCCAGCTGGTCGGTGGGCACGAAGACTACCGTTTTTCTGGGTAACGTCGACTGGAACACGTCGGAAACGGGTGGGTCCCCTCCCGCGAGTGGGGGACACGGGGGGCATCGAAGAAATTTCGGCATTTTTTCGGATGGAGACGGCACCCGAAAGTGTGCCGCGTGATGAGTATCAGTGTCGGGCCCAATCCGTCTTGTTCCACACCGGTGAAGGGGTGTACCCAACGTTCGGAAAAAAACATAATGGGAGAAATCGACAACCCCCAAAGAGTAATGGCGTGTTCCTTGGGTGGCCGTACTGCTGGTGACGGCCGACACGACAACCAACCCTGTCTTTTGTTTGCTTAGGGGCTCTTTCGCGAGAGTTTCCATGCATACTATGTGATGCATACGACCTGGAACATACGAACGACCTGATGGACATAAGTCGGACGGTCTCCGTTACGTGCCCACTTATGATGCGGATGGATACCTTCCGTCGTCGCCACACACCAATTACCATGTATCACAGAGAGGATAAGACAACTCCCCACACATGATAGACCTGCGAGAAATATACACGAACACTGGCTGGTACAGTGTACAGGAAGAGCAGCATGGAGCAGGGAAACATCTGTCAATAGACTCCCTACTTGAATTGACTGATTTGTTGTTGAGTCGAGTGTCTCCTTTCCAATCCTCATCGATCGCCCGCACTCACCGAACTTTGAAAAGGTGGGGCATTTTGTAGTTTGTCTTTACTACTGTTTACTACGTGCATGCATATCGGGTGTCGTTATCCATCGAAGTATTCATACTATGCAAACTTTCCCGCCTCTCGGCTGACAGATATAAAACGGCACGGCTATTTGGGACAACGTTGTCCCAATTTTTTATTTGGGACAACACGTCTAACTCGGCGTAGAAAGCTCGGAACGACCTCAAACCAAGTTTGTTTGTTGTAATCCTACTGGACACAGCTTTCACGGAATGTATTTTGAGTCCACAACGGAGCCGGGGCCGAGGAGATAGAGCCTAAAGCCGGGGCTCCTTGTTATGGAGGAAAACGTGGATTTACCGAAGCCACGGAGCCCCTTTTTTAGGCTCTATCTCCTCGGCCCCGGCTCC